CTGTATCGGTATAAATGCGTTTGTTTATCATTATTTATTGAGTACAAATGCCTTAATTGGTGATGATTTATGAACTTTACCATATGCATAATTGTGTATGGGCATTTACGATATCGGTTAGTAACTATGCGCATAGGCACATCTCTATACGCGACCGATTTTACGGAAAAATATGCGGAAACATGCTACATGCTGTGGAACATGCTGAAAAGTGCTGTTGCCGTTCTTGCCATAATTTTTAAAATTAGAGAAATCATCGAAACAATGGTAACAGTTCATGCAATTCTACACGTATGGCACAGTTATACGTAAATGAATTCTTTATTAATACATCTTAAATAGATTAAAATTAGAATCAACAAACAACGAAAATAAACAGATAGAATAAATAACCATAAATTATTATTTTAATACAAAAATCTATATGTTTCATGTTTCTTAAGCTTAAAAATATTTTTGAAATCTATATTTGTAATAAACTAATACATAGAGTTGCTATCAAATTAAAAATCACCAAAAATAATAGCGGATAAATTTCCAGCGTTATATGTCGAATCATAATTGAGATAGTCGGGAATTAATGTGGCATCGATTGTTGTGCTTTTCAAAGTAGAATTGATATCATTATCAAGAAAATTTGAGGCTGCGCTAAGATTATTGATCGGCATAGGTAAAGTGCTTAGATTGTTGTGAAGAATATGAAGATTATGTTGTGTTGTCGACGATGTGAATCTAGTCGTACAATTTCTCGAGGAGGACGACGAAACATTAATTTCAGCTATCCTTTGAAATGGACTGTCATTGTTTGGGCTAGATTTGGCAGAAGTCGTAAATATGTGTTTTTTCTGTTCCCGAAAAATAAACGGTTTATAGTTTGCACCTTTTGCTTTTTTCGGACTATATCTGTAATTTGGATATATATGCTCATGTTTCTTATAAGCTATTTTCTCCAATATCTTGAAAAATTCTTTAACCTCACTTGATTGTGCTTTCCATTTTAAACTACATTCCTTCGCTGTATATTTAATTTGTTGTTTAATATTCGGTCTAAGTAGACGTAAATTAGCTTCTAAATCTTTTCGAAAGATAATCCAGCTGTTTTGTGGCCTTGGTTGCTTATCAGAATTACCGCATTTTTTACTAGAAGGTTTGGTTAAGTCTTCAATTTCGAGAGTAAGTTTATAGGGACGCTTATTTAGAATCTGTCTTTCTGTTTCTGTTAAATATTCATAATTATTCATTTTTAATGAGCAGCGTGCTTATATAACTTTGAAGTTTTACGTGCGTGCGAATTTTCCTTTAAGTGAAGGGTTTTATAATCAAGGAGATGATATAAATAAATATTTTTTTGACTATATCATTTGTTGTTTATTCCTTACTACTCCCATCCTTCATTTATAAATGCAAAAAAATCCACAATCATAGTCTGATTATACTTGCTATTTTTTATAGATGCAAAAAACATCCACAATCTTAGTCTGATTATACTTGCTATTTTTTACAAATAGATAAGAAAGTATGCGGTTTTTTGTATTACATAGTACGCTTTATTATTTTTATATTGGCTTGGCGTTTCTATCGGTAAATTATATTAGTATATAAAATATGCGCTTTCTAAGTATTTAAAGTGATTTTGTTTTTCAATTTTTGATGTGATATGGGGTGCTGTAAAGATAGTAAATCGGGTGGAATGCTTATACAATAAAAATAGGTTGCATGGTAAATCAGAAAAATTATGCTTTCATAGCATTGTTTCTATATTGACTTGGCATTTCTGCGGATAAATTGTATTGTGCATCTTGTTAAGCATTTAACATTAAATTCGGTTTCGTTTTCAATTGTTGATGGGATGACGTATAATGCATGCAGATAAAAATAATTATGCATGGTAAACCCGATAAATTATGCATAAACAACATTTTGTTTTCGGTTTTCAATTTTTATTGTGCATGCATTACTAATGCATGCATTATTAAATGCATGCACAATAAAATAATATTCATGGTAAAGTCGATAAATTATGCATACATAACATTGACTTGACATTTCCGCGGATAAATTGTACTGTGCACTCTTTTAAGCATTTAATGTTAATTCGTTTTGTTTTTCAATTTTGAAGTGGCGTATCAAACAAAAATCATGTCATTAGTGTCTTGTGTTTTGTCATATCGATATTGATAGCCTTGAGATTAAATTTAAGAGTATTTTACATTAGATAAAATAAATATCAACTTGCGAATTTTTGTGTAGAATTATTTGGAAAATGATTGTCATTAATCGTCAATAACCAAAAATGTACTACAAAAATTAGATAGGAGAATAGATATCCAGTAAACTTCCCACGTCCTTTAAATTCTTCTCTTTGCGACGAGTCTCTAAATTGAAATGGCTGCTATCACCTTCCGTGACCAACGACAAACGATTGGAACCAGGGCATACGTTCTGCCAAAAAAATATATACAGCAGCAAAAATACCAACGTCAATTATCTATTACAACCTAAAAAAGCTCGGAAAAACTGAAAAAGTAACACAGTCAAAAGGGGCGGGGTCGTCCAAAGGTAATTTCGCGAGAAATGTCACAAAAAATCAGGCAGCAAATCCAAAATAATCCTTCTATATCAACAAGAAGTTTGGTGGCAGAATTAGGTGGAACGGTATCTCAACCGACTGTTTTATGACATTTGTGGGATCACGTCTATAAAAATGATGTCCCAAAAGCTTTGCCAATGTTTGTTTACCTTGCAACATAAAGGGAAACGGGTGGGGTGGGCCAAAAAACACATGAACGATAATTGGAACAAAACTTTTTTTACAGATAAAACTGCATTCCAACTCTTCCGTAACACAATTGGTCAGTGGCATAAGGGTCCAAGACTGGTTCGTCGAATTCCTAAAGATAGGAGAAAAATCTTTGCGTGCGGTGGGTTTTGTAAAGCAGGTAAAATTGATTTATTTTGTTTTAGAAGAACAATGAATGCCGAATTTTATGTAGATATTTTAAAAAAGAATATTGTGGATATTAATGCTCTTCTGGGAAGAAAATGGAGGTTTCAACAGGATAATAATCTAAAACATACGAGCCATCTTGCAAAGTCTTACTTCGAATCGAATGTCTCCAAAGTTATTGATTGGCCATCTTGTAGCCCGGACTTAAATCCAATCGAAAACCTATGGAATATAGTCAAAAGAAACGTAGAAAAAAGAAAACCAAAAAATTTGGACCAATTAGAATCATTTATGAAGGAGGAATGGAATTTAATTCCAAATGATACATTAGAGAGTTTAGTAAAATCGATGAAACGAAGATGTATGCTAGTGATGGAGAGTAAAGGTGATACTGTAGATTATTAAAATTTTTTAACAAAGTACATGTTTTTATCTTTCAAATAAATGTATTTTTATTATAATTGGTTTGGTGATTGCGTAGTACCGAATTCTCCCGGAAATAAGCGCCACCTGAGAATAATGAATAAATAAGAGCCACGCATCTCATTTATGAAGGCTGCTCAGGAATAATCACCATCTTCATTTGCTGTGTTGATTGAGTAATGCTTATTCTCGGATGAATCCTGGTCGGTATTCTAGAAATCCTATTTTTGAGTCCAAAAAACGGTGCTTATTTCCGGGAGAATACGGGTAATAATAAATTTATTCTTCCAATGATTTTGAATCACACTGTAAATGCTGAGACTTTAACGCTAAGTGAATTCTAGTTGTAGTTCTATTGTTTTCATAACTTTTAATGATCCGATCTCAATTATAATGCGTAACAAAATTACAGTTTTGATTGACTGGTATAACAATTTTTTTAAAAAAAACTTATGAATGAAAATAGAATACTACATGGAACAAAAAAACACTTTCTATAACCGAAGAAATTACGCTTAATAATAAAATAAATAACATAAATAAGAAAGCGGCTTTATCAGTTAAAACCAGTTTGTAATGTTGACATTTTATTGTCAAAGATCTAAAGAATCAATTAGTGCTAGAATTATTCCAATTATAATTATCAAAAGATTCTTTGATATTTTCCCATTCTTTGATATATTGCTTTGCAACAGTCTCAGACAATTTCAAAGGTCTGCTACGACTATTCCGTGCATGAAGCATCTGGTATGCCGAATCAACTTTACGTAAAATTTTGCTCCAATATTGATTATTATTTTTGGCCGCCTGGATTATTGATTCTATTCTGGTGTGGGCGTTGGTAATGTTTCTTGAAACTGATGAATTTTTTTGAATCTGAGTCCGTATAAATGATTTTTTCCTATCTATTAATCTCATTATAAAGGCAAATATGATGACAAAAATTATCGCCGCAATCTGAAATTCGTTCGCCATTATAAAAACAAATATGAAGAATGCCATTACAAAAAAGGCATTTTTTCGATATTTCAATTTTTTATTCTCTGTTTCATGAGTTTTTAACTCAATTTCGAGCATTTGTAGTCGATCAACATATTTTTTGGATATTTCATTAAGCTTATTGACAACATGGTTGGCACGTTGCAATGTTTGTTGATATGCTTCTATAACCATCTCGGATTTCTTTTTAATTTCTTCCAAGACATCCAGATATTCATCGTTTTCAAGTTTACGCTGGACCAACTCATTAATATATAAAAGAATAGTGCCGGTGAGTTCCGATGATCTAATACTAACGGCAGTAAAGCTTTCGATAATTGACTCTACATTTTTTTTAACTTGTGGTTTTGTTTTGCCAACGATTGTATCTTCTACCGGAATTTGTAAATATTTTGATAGAGAACGCAGGAAGCTTATTCGTAGCTGGTTTTCCATTTTTTTTTTTTTAATTTGAAGGTTGAAAAATGCTCACAATAAAATGTTTGTCTTATCGTTATACAATTTTTATAGCTAACCTGTGAAGAGGGCAGATCGGCAATATACGAAATCAATCAGGTAAGTTCCTGACTTTAAATGCATAGCGAACAATATCATTACTAAAAATATTTATTTCAATAACGATACGTTGATCTTACGTAATATGTACATATACCGATTCTATACAACAAAACACGGAAAAAATTTTTTGGTTCGGAATTTTTATTCCACAAAAATGATAGATTCGTGCAAGATATTATATGCATTAATTCATTTATTAAATGTTCAATTAGTGGTCTTAATTAGGTTTTACGTTAAAAGCGAAATAATTTAAGAATGATATTCTATCAATCAAAAAAAATCCGGCTAAATAATAATCTATTGTCAAAGTTTTTTTGTCTGAGCTTTCAGTTCCGTTTATATACACATCACTGTATGCTATATATGTAGTCTGTATGTACATGTATGTCGTAATTACATTTTCGAAAGTCGAGAGTGGTATAGTTGTCATCAGTCAAGAGGTTTTGCTCAAAAAACTAATGAAGAAGGATCTTCTCAGGTTCTAGATTAATATACGTGTTGTATCTCAAGGAACAAGTTTATTTAAGCGCAGTTATCTGTTTCATATCAAAATGGTTTCCAATGAGTTTTATGATGCGAACGACTTTTTCATTGCCCAAAAGAAGTACAAAAAATCGCCGTTTACATGTATTTAGAATACGCTGATATTTAGTTCGGCGATGTATTCGGAGGTTAAGTTCCGGCAAAAGAATCTGCGAAGAGCGTAGGACAATGATTTCATGCAAATTGCATAAACCGCATAATAGAGTTTGTAATACATGTACATAGATTCACCGGATAATGCTTAAAAAATTAACGTTAAGAAAACATGGCAAAACACATGTGATATAATCATAACTCAAAAATGCTATTAATAAGAAAAATATCATAAATGTATAATATTTTTTATCGTTTGAATCACTAAAAAAGTTAAGCTTTATTTTAATTCTTCACATAAATTTTAATAAGTTTTCTTTACCATAATTGCGCATAATTATAATTTTTTAGGGCATAACTATAAAAAATTTATGTATTTCACGTGGTCCCGCTTTTGCTGATGACCAGTTTTACAGAATCAAATTTCAAATTTTCTAACCTGTAATTATTCCAATCGCAAATTTTTATCGACCCCGCAAAACTAAAGAACAAGAGAACTGATGCATAAATTTGTCTTGGACTATTAATTAAAAATGTCGGGAAGGCAATTTTAAATATAAATTTTATCTTCTCAACCAATATTCTTTGTTCTGACTCTAGTCAGACGTAATGAAAATTCAGTATCCAAATTAGAAAATTTACAATTTGATTCAATAAAACTGATCTTTTCCAACCGTGACTTATCTATTCGATAATACCGAAATTTTAATTTGATTAAGGTTAATGTAAAATTTATGAATTACATGCAAAAATTCTCGTGTTTATTCATCTGGGAGCCCATTCTTGATTCATCAAAACATATTAACGCACAAAATAATCTTTCATTCCGTTACAAAAATGTAGAAGGGACTATCAAAGATGAACAAAAAGGTATTCGGGTGGTGCATGAAAACACAGATTCAGGATACCTTAAATACACAAGATGAATTACAAAACTGGGGATGGAACAATCAAAAAGCATTCTATGGTACTTGAGTAAGAGATCTCGCTTTCAATGATGAACGAAAAGGCATTCGCGTGGTACTTGAAATCAGTAAATTCGGGCCACCATGACGCACAAAATAATCTTGCATTCTGTTACAAAAATGAAGGAACATTCAAGGATATTCGAGTGTAATTATTTCATAGCGGGATAGATAAAGACAAAGCATTAGAGTTTCAAGATTTGCTAATCCGGATTATGAAAGAAAAAAATTAAGATGCAAAACGAATTTAATTACAAAAAAAAGGAAACATATGTTATAATGTCATCTGAAAATAATAATTCAGTGCCCTATTTTCGACTGGAACAATGTTTTGAAACGACAAACAAAAATCATCATAAAGCATTCGATTGATATTTAAGAGCTACAGGGTTCGGAAATAACAAAGCTCAATTTAATTTTGAGAAATTCGGAATAGGAGTTTCAAAAAAACTCTTACTAGCCTTAATGTGGTATCAAAAGACCGTAGAAAACGGGCATAGTTGAATCTTTCAATTTTGAAATATATGCATTGCATCCAACCACATCAGAAATTAAAAAAGTCACTTTTAAAAACGTGCATCTTTATGCGGAATGCCAAGTCAATATTGAAATGATTTACGTAAGAATATTTTTACTATGCATACTTTTGCATGCATCACTCCAAAATTGAAACACAAAATATATGTAATTGTTTGCAGAAATGCCAAGTACATGACATGTAAATATAGTAATTTTATATATTCATAATTTACCGAACGCCAAGTCATTAGAATTACATCCATCATATTCGAAGATCACTTTAAAAAAACGCGCATTTTATGTACATTAATCCGAAGTCTGAAACAATAAAATGAAAATTTAACGACTAATTATCTTAACTACTTACTTTTGTGCAGAACTAAAACTGTATAAATAAAGGAAGGGTGAGGTAATAGGGAGCAACAAAAAAATATCGTTAAAAAATAATTATTTGTGCGATCATAAAACCGTTCACTTAAAAGAGTATTCGCCGATATAAGACAACAATTTTAGTTTTCCTAGTAATTAACATCAAATGTTGTATTTATTTTTCATTAAAAAATGAATAACTACGAATATTTAACAAAAACCGAAAGGCAACTCCTAAATAAGCGTCCCTATAAACTTACTCTCGAAATTGAAGACTTAACCAACCCCTCTAGTAAAAAATGCGGCAATTCTGATAAGCAACCAAGGCCACAAAACAGCTGGATTATCTTTCGAAAAGATTTTGAAGCTAATTTACGTCTACTTAGACCGAATATTAAACAACAAATTAAATATACAGCGAAGGAATGTAGTTTAAAATGGAAAGCACAATCAAGTGAGGTTAAAGAATTTTTCAAGATATTGGAGAAAATAGCTTATAAGAAACATGAGCATATATATCCAGCTTACAGATATAGTCCAAAAAAAGCAAAAGGTGCAAACTATAAACCGTTTATTTTTTGGGAACAGAAAAAACACATATTTACGACTTCTGCCAAATCTAGCCCAAACAATGTCGGTTCATCTCAAGGGATAGCTGAAATTAATGTTACGTCATCCTCCTCAAGAAATTATACGGCTAGTTTTACATCGTCGACAACACAACATAATTCGCATATTCTTCACAACAGTCTAAGCACTTTATCTATGCCGATCAATAATCTTAGCGCAGCCTCAAATTTTCTTGATAATGATATCAATTCTACCTTGAAAAGCACACCAATTGATGTCACAAATACATCTATCATCCCAATACCATTGATTCCCGAGTACCTTAATTATGATTTGACATATAACGTTGGAAATTTTTCCGCTATTATTTTCGATGATTTTTAATGCGATAGCAACTCTATATATTAGCTTATTACAGATACAAATTTCAAAAATACAATCAAGGTTAAGAAACATGAAACATATAGATTCTTGTACTAAAATAATATATTTATTTTATTTTATTTTTATCTGTTTATTTTCGTTGTTTGTTAATTCTATGTTCATTCATCTTTGTCTCTTTCAATTCTTCGTCTATTATTATTCTTTCATTTTTTATTAGAAATTAATAACTTTAATCTATTTAATATGTATTTCGTATTAAATAAAAAATTAAATTAGTTCTACGAGCTTGCACGAAATATATAAAAACATATAAGCGCAAAATATCATTTACGTATAAGTGTGCCATACATGTAGAATTGCATAAACTGTTACCATTGTTTCGATTATTTCTCTAATTTTAAAAATTATGGCAAGAACGCAATCTAGCATGTTCCACAGCATGTAGCATATTTTTCCGTAAAATCGGTCGCGTAACTGCCGCCCATTGCTTATGAAAATGCAAGAATCGGTAACACAACGAGAAGTAAGCAAAAATATTGTTCATTATAAAATCAAGCTGGTGTCAATTCAATAATTATTAATTTTTATTGCATAGGGGCGACACTTCAAAATGTACTAAGTGGATCGGGTGTAACCTTTGATTCCGTGCAAGACACAATGGACAAACTTGAAGACGTGTTAATGGCACAAAATGAAACTGTCGAGGCATTGACTACTGAGAACTAGAACATCTTGACTTTAACTACTGAAGAAAGCGAGGAACTGGAGAAAGAACTGGCAAACTAAAACACATTTTTTTTAGCACAATCTGTGTGAAATCCAAGCACATTTCAGTGTATCTTTCAGCACAATGCTTTCTTTTGTTCTATATGTTATTTTATTATTCTTTGTTATAGCTTTTAGAAACGTAATATCTATAATACAATAAAAATATATAAAGTAAATAGCTTTAATCGATAAAAGCTTTAACAAAATGTATAAAAAGTACGGTCCTCAAGCCCATAAAAAAAGGAGGAAATAGAGGAATAACAAGAGATAAAATTTGTAAAATGTTTCCCCCGAAAAAAAGAAGTAAATTGCGTATAATTCTTCTCCAAGTAATATACTTGTAAATATCCTTCGTAAAGGCATCGTAATTGTAATAGTATCGTGTTGATTAGGTTCTTGTGTCCCAAAATGATAACATATTAGTTAGGTTCATTATGCCAGAAAAGACATCGTATTAGTTAGGTCCTTGATCAAACACAACAATTGAATGATATATTGAGTTTAAGCTTTCTGTCTATTTAAAGAATCGGTTATAATCAGCCTAATTAGAATATAGAGCACACAATCTCCCGCTCCAAAATAATTTAACGTAAAACTTATCCAATATTCACGCCCAAATCCTCCTATTCACTCACATTCTTCCCCTTGAACTGCACAAATAGAACGATATCGGCACTGAAATAGAATTGAACTGCATAAATTGTCTAAACTAATATCCCAACTTTAGTCACAAACTAAACCATCCATATATACTTTACCTGTGACAGTAAATGAAGCAATGTAAATTGACAACCGTTTAGCATTAAATTGTGAATTGCATAACTATAAATAAATGAGTTTTGCGTCCAAGATGGAAGGAAATGGTGCGCACATCGAATTTTTTACAAATAAAGATAATGAAATCCTACATTATATTAATTTATGCACATATAGGAATCCTTTATAATTATTCTTGCAGAAACGTCACCTAACCCCCATGCATAGGAAGTGCGTGGTCGATACTATGTGGATAGTTAAATAAATTGTAAATTACTTGCATATTTTTAGATAGAGAGTGATCGCGCATTACTTTTTAATTATTTAATATTAATACGAAACATATATATAACAAAGCTACAAATTATTTATGCCAATATTGAAATTTATTTTATATTGCGTGCGCGTAATATATAAATTTCAATGTTCTTACTGTTTTTAATAATTTTGAGAACATTGTATTACAAAAATTCGAACGCTTTTATTATTTGAGAAAAACTTTCGTTCATTTGAGAAATGATTTTAAAATCGACTTTTATACACTGCTGCGCACTATTATAAAATTAAACATTTTAACGTAACTTTATTCTTCTAAAGCAATTACATGTTTTAATTTTACTAATTTGACAGCACAATTTTGGGTCTTTACATTTAATACTAAATTTACCAAAAATGGGAACCTATAAACTACGAATCCAACATCAACAATGGAAATCAGTTCATGGTTGGCCAGCAATCTTTCAGGATCATATACGGTAGCAACACTCAACTCAGAAGCTAGTTTGACTAAAGAATTGTAGAGCTTAATTATTTACATAAAGTGGGTTTCTCTGGGATTCTAAAGGCCACATATACTAATCTACACGGAGATTGTCAAACAAAGGGAGAGAGTTAAAATGGCAGGCAAAGTATAAAATAATATTAGTTAATTCACATAACAGCAAATTACAAACAAATATAATTTCAATTCAAGCAAAATTATAAAATTCAAATAAAATTTATTCCAAAACAATAAACTAAAATAAAATGAATAACGATATCAAAATCAAATAAGAGAATAATTCAATAATCAAAGGATCAAACGAAACATAGAGTCAACTTTGTACAGCTAATGTAGAAAGATCTTCGATTTGTTAAGCACAAAAGGTATAAAGCTATCAATTTGTTAAGACATAAAGAAATAAAAGCTGAAGTGCTGTTAGGTAAAAGTTGAAAATAATTCTACAAACCTCATATTATTACCGAAGTAACCTTAAATTCCCGTAATTCCTTAATTTTCTTTCAATATGGGAAATCGCGATTACATTTGGAAAAGCCGGCATTCGTTAGCATGTAATTTCAATTCTCGCAACAATTACGTACCACGATTATCAACAATAAACACGGTTTCTGCAACAATTAATATATCACGACAAATTAGTTTAAACCACTTTGAGCACGACGCAACAATTAAAATCTAACATAACAATTTTCACGACAAATAATGTCTCACACCTCATAGTATCTGACAATAAGTAATTGAAGTTATCGCAACCATCTGTTTGTGACCATCTTTATCAGGATTGTAATAAATTTATGACCAACAATCAAACATCTGACATCGAAATTGTTGCTGTAGTGACAAAGCAATTTGTGAGTCTATAATCACCTCCGTGATTACCCAACACCGATACCTCTATAATTTTTGGACTAATGTCCAACACCGTTTCATAAGTTTAACTGTGCCCTTAACAATTTTTGTTTATTCTAGTTTTGATGTTCAGCTAATCTCTTAAGGAACATACATCTTTAGTAATATTCTGTTAAATCGAAGTTTCTTAAAACTTCGTATCCTCATTTTCATTACTACCTCGTTCATATTGTCTATTAGCTTATTTTTTGTGAGAATGCTCTGGAATAAATAATATAGATTGCATTGATATATTTGCATAAAAAGATCAGGTCTTGACCTCTAGAGAAGTATATTCTCTAAAAAAATCTTACCTATAATAATTCCTTACTCTTAAATAAATTATCTTTCTTCTATTTGGTTAACTTCAAAGCTTGCGTACAAATGACCTTTATTTTTTTTGTGCCTAATATAAATTGATAGTGGAAGAACTCTACTCTAAATTAACCATACTTTTAGTATTTATTGTTTCTAGGCATTGGATAGGACCAAACGTTGAACTTGCTTTGTGCTATATCATAGAGATTGCTTTGTGCATTAATCCGAATACAAAAAAGGGTATGACTATGCTTCAAAACTGTAAAATTTATTGTAATTATAAGAAAAATAAAATTTATTACATAAACACAAAATATGAATTTTGGTAGAAATTTTGTAAGGATTTCTATATATAAAGGGAATAGCGTATGATATGTATGATATGAATATTTATGTGAGGAACGCAACGTAAGAATTTTCATAAGAAATTTCTGTGATTAAATTTTATATGAATCTCGTGAAATTTTATTGGTTCAGATATTACGAAATAGTAAAAATAATTGCCGTAATTTTCCATTTAGTATCATATCCTCCATGATGTACGTAAATACATTTTTACAAAGTAGGTAGAATATAACGTAATCACTTGTAATTCTGGTCAAATAGACTAAACTATTATTTCTATATTCGAATTTTTTCTGATGGAATGTAACATACCCGTGTATTTAGACGGCAAATTACGGTATCTTTAATATTTTTTTCGAACACATTACTAATTAGAAATACATGAATTAAGTTCGTGTAGGCATCGATCCAGAATTTTCGTAATCACGGAATTTTTGTTACAGCAACAACATAATGCATGTACATGTAAAATCTAAACAAGAGACATTTAAATATTCCACTCGAGCTGTGCATACCTTAGTCACGATCACTAAAATTGATAAAATTTAAATTATCCCTTATTTAAAAACAATACATAATATAAAAGAAGTTAGTCAATCTAAACATAGTCATAGTTTTAATTTTATAAATTGATTTTTTGACAACTTATTAGAAATTTATAATTAGAAAATTTTACTATTAATCGAGTATTTTGGCCGCTCTACATAGCTATATTTATTATTAATTGAATAATTAAATTATATATTATTTTTATTAAATAAAAATAATCTATTATTATGATTTATAAAAATTACAATACCATAGGTAAAGTAAATATATCTCTGAAAGAAGATTTCTAAATAAATTCTTTTTTATAAATAATTTAATCTTTTGTATTTGAAGAATTTATTACTTTCAAAAATGTTAGAATATTTAAGAATTGTGATAATTTTGAAATTTTTCAATATTAAAAGATGCAAAAAAATTTAGAATTATTTTTTAAATATGATTCTTAAAAATAAGTCATAAATCTTCTTTATAAAGCATTAAATAAT